GAAGGCAAGTTGTCCATAGCGCGCCAGCGGCCGCCGTGGGGCTGGGAGAGGCTGGTGTGGCGCTGGGGTGCTGGGCTGGCCCTATAGAGAGCACCTATAGACAGAGGCCGTGCCTCAGTGAGGGGGGTCCTGCAGCAACACCTACAGAGAGCCTGTGCCTAAATGGGGGGACTATAGCAACCACGGCACCTATAGAGAGCCTGTGTTTAAAGCAGGGGTTCTATAGCAACACCACGGCCCCTATATAGAGCCTGTGCCTAAATGGGGGAGGGGGACAGGGACTATAGCAACCATGACACCTATAGAGAACCTGTGTTTAAAGGGAGGGTCCTATAGCAACACCATGACACCTATAGAGCGCCTGTGCCCACGCAGGGGGTCCTATAGCAACACCACAGCACCTATAGAGAGCCTATGTTTAAAGGGGGGGGTGTCCTATAGCAACAGCACGGGACCTATAGAGAGCCTTTGCCAAAATGGGGGGGGCTATAGCAACCATGACACCTATAGAGAACCTGTGTTTAAAGGGGGGGGTCCTATAGCAATACCATGGCACTTATGGAAAGCCTTTGCCAAAATGGCGGGGCTATAGCAACCACGACACCCACAGAGAGCCTGTGCCTAAATCAGGGGGCCCTACAGCAACACCCTGGCACATATAGAGAGCCTGTGTTTAAAGGGGGGGGGTCCTATAGCAACACCATGGCACCTATAGAGAACCTGTGCCTTGATGGGGAGCCCTATAGCAACACCACAGCACCTACAGCCAGCTTGTGCTTTGGCCTGAGGGCCCTATAGCAACACCATGGCACACACGGAGTGCCCGGGCTTTCACAGGGTAGGGCTGTAGAGCGCTTGTAGAGAACGGGTGAGCTGACTGGGGGGGCCTATAGGAGCAGGAGGGCACCTATAGGACACCTATAGGGAGGCCCCTATAGGGAGGCACCTACCCCCTTCCATGTCTTCTGTCCAGTTGCGGCTGCTGCTGGTGGGGGAGTTGGAGGAGGTGTAGTACTCGCCCCCCGGGCTGGTGTCGATGTCGTCCTCCATGGACCCCGATTTGTGCCGTTTGCTCCTGGGGGGACAGGGAAGGGATAAGCGCCCGCCCGCTGCAGGATCTGGCCTGTCCCCTGCCTTCCCTGCTCTGCTCAGGCTGGCTCCGGCATCGCCCCAGCATCACCCCAGCATTGCCCCGGCATCATCCCAGCATCACACCAGCATCGCCCCGGCATCGCACTGGCATCACACCAGCACCACCCTGGCATTGCCCCGGCATCATCCCAGCATCACACCAGCATCGCCCCGGCATCGCACTGGCATCACACCAGCACCACCCTGGCATTGCCCCGGCATCATCCCAGCATCACACCAGCATCGCCCCGGCATCGCACTGGCATCACACCAGCACCACCCTGGCATTGCCCCGGCATCATCCCAGCATTGCCCCAGCATCGCCCCGGCATCACCTACCCGCTGGAGGAGGTGCTGGGCAGCGTTCTCCTCATGCCGGTGCTGGAGGGGTTCAGGTCATAGGCCAAGTGGCCCTGCAGCTCCCCCAGGGAGAAGTTTGGCCCCGTGCCTGTCACCACCGGCGCTGCGGGGAGAGAGGGTGCTCAGGGGGGGTCTGGCATTGCCCCCCGCCCAGCAGGGCAGGGAGCCCCAGTCCGCAGCCGGGACGAGGGAGCTGTCGGGACACTGCTGTGCCCAGGCAGCCGGGATGGGGTGCGTGGGGTGGTGGCATCATGGTGGCACTCACTTCGGGACACCTGGATGAGCTCGGTGACACTGAACACCCCCGAGGTGACAAAGCTTTCCTGGAAGTCTGTCGAATCTGCATGGGAGAGAGGAGGGAGTGCTGGAGGGGGGGAGACAGGACCACCCCTCCTGCCTCACATTGTCTTATAGTGATGCTTGAGG